GGTGCCTCATTGTGTGCATCCGGAGCACGGAGAGTTTCAATTGTCTCCAGTGCTGTTGAAAGTCGTGCTTCCAGGTCGCTGATGCGATGTGCCGCCAGAGTGTCTGCCTCTGTCGGCTGCGAAGGTTGAAGTGGGAGATGAGGTTGTGATTTGCTGGATTGTGGTGGTGTTGGAGATTCGGTGGGTTGTGATTGTGTGTTATCTGTGTCTGATTTGACGTCTTGCTTGTCCTTTTTGTTGCCGTCATTGTACTGGTCCTGCAGCTCTTGCAGGTATAACACCAATTCCTTGATTAGGTGTGACATTGCTGGCCGTTTTGCGAGTGTGAGCTTTTCTTGCCAGCAAAATGCGGTGGCCGCTTGGTCCAGATCAATTCTCCGTGCTCGGAGTTGACCCATAAGTTCAGTGGTAAAGACGGCTTCGCTGATGTGTTTGCTGCATGTGAGATGGATGTCGAAGCCGTGTGCGGCGTACCGTAGCCAGTACGAGGACCAATTGTGTCGCAGAAATGCGACCAATGGTGCTGTTGCGATCGGCATGCCTGCCGTGCGGTTGTGTACTGAATGTGGTGTGGATTGGATATGTTTGGGTAGGTTGAGGCCATAAAGCTGTCTGTTGTCCCAATGCTCTGGTGTTTGAACGAAGTCGTTTGGTATCTGGGGATTAGCAGGCGTGAGATTGGGGTGTTGTTGTTGTTGGGGTGTGACGGTGGCCTGAGGTAATGTATGTGAAGAAATGCTGGGGTTTCGAGTCGTCATCGGAGATGGACTCACAAAGGTGTGTTGAGGAGTGGCAGGTGTGGGGGTTGGCAGTGTGGTGGGTGATGTTGGGCCGGAAAACTGCTGGGGTGGGGGAGGGGGTGGAGGGAACGGGGGGAAAGTGGTGTTGTGACTGTAAGTGTGGTGGGGAGATCGGGTGCATTGGGGTGCTACTGGTCGAGGCTGTTTGTCGCTGCACCGTACTGATTGCTGTACCGATGATGCCTGTTGGCATTGTTGTATGCCACTGAGGCTGTGTCGGCTTGTACATGGTTGCACAATGGGGCACTACAATTGCCTATGACTGCAAAAGCTGCAAGTGGCACATGCATGAGCAACATGGTTGGCGTGAGTGTCGATATCAACTTGTGCGATGCATCCAGCATGCAGCTGCATCGTCTCTTCTTTGGCTCAAAAGCGGGGTCGGAGCAAATGCTTGATTGCAAACAGCTATGTGCAACGGGATTCAGGCCTGGAAGAAAAAGAATGAAAGGTAGACACGGAAGAAGAAAGAAAGCAACATCACTGAATAAGGCCGAATCCAACGATGCTGAAATGCCCCGAGTGGAATCCCCACTTCTCTGGGGTCCGCACGACACCCTTTCGCCCCACGATGAAGGCTTCTCTATACATGTCCCGATACGTCATCTTGTAATGCTGATACTTAGTCCGTATTGTCCCGATGACGATCACTCCCTGTTGGCCCTTCGGCCGCCGTGTACATTGATCGGTAACTATATGTACCGTGCTTTCCGATACATCTCCTGGGGTCGCATTCCCGTATATGACGCAAGAGGGAATGGGTGGATAGGACTTGTCGTCGAAGCAATGGCTGACTGAACTTGGGCGGACCAAGTCCTCGCGCATAATGCGCGCGGCACTTGCCATGCTCGTGCCGTGTCCGGCGGTGTAGATGTATGTTTCCCCTGGTGGGTCGGTGGCGCGAGTGCCGAATGCTCTGCGCTGCTCTCCAGCCCACGGGATGAATAACATAGTATGCACGCCGTCCGATATTGGCGTCAGCACTGCCCCCAGTTCGTTGCACGCTGATCGCGTGCCTGACTGTAGCACGGCATGTGCAAATTCGGCTAAAGTCTCCTGCCTGAAATCGCTGTCAGCAGCTATCTCGCCCAAGGTTTTGGCGAGTTTATGTGCTTCTTCCATGTCGACAGCGTGGGGGGTCGGCTTTTCATGATTGTAAAGCTCAGAAAAAGGCGCCACATCAATCTGTGGTGGTCTGCTCTGTTTGCCCAGTTGTTCGAGGGTTGGCTGACCCGATGGGGCAGCAGCTGTGGATGCATCAAAAGTTGGGGCAGGTGTCCGAATAGAGCTGGAGGGATTGTGCTGAACCTGTTGGCGGGAGGATGTGCCCTGTCCGGCTGGGGGCTGCTGTTGTGCTGCTTGGCTGCCCTTGATGCGAAGGGCGATTCGCTGAACCTGCGAGGCCAATGTCCTTTGTGGGACCTTGGGTGGGGTAGGTGGCCTCTGACGTGGCTGTGTGGCTCTGTAATGCCACTTGTTGGCATCATCATCACGCACTGTAGAATAGCTACGGAGCACAACCGAGGTCCGCGGAGGTGTCGACGAAGATCGCCTGGTGTCCCTGCGAGAACGACTTCTGCGGGTGTCGCGGGATCGGTGGTGTCTGCGTCGGCGGTGCTGTCTCCCGCTGCTTGCAGGTCGTGCTCTGCTGCGTGTGCGTCGTCGGCGTCTAGTGCTCACGGTGCGAGTTCTGCTGCGTGTGGGTGAGCGCCGTCGCCTGCGTGGCAACGGAGGGTGGTGGGGAGAAGTGCGTGCTGCGAACTGGTCGGTGTCTGCCGATCCCGTAGCCGGGGGTGGTTGTGTGGGTGGCAATGTGCTAACGGAGGGGGTGTTGGCTGTGTTTGTTGGTTGGGGTTGGGGAGTCATTGCCGGTGTCTGCGGGGCAATGTGTGCAGCATCGGTAGTGGTAACACTGGTGGGGTGAGATTGTGAAGCTTGTTGGATTGTTGTTGGCGGCGGTATGTGGGGTTGTTGAGCGGGTTGTGTGGAAGGGATGTTGTAAGGTGCAGGTTGGGGTTGTGGAGCAGGTGGTGTAAAAGGAATGTTGTATGTGGTAGGCTGGGGCTGATGCGGTGTCAGATTGGATGGGCTCGTGGGAAAAACTGTTGGATGGGTAGGCAAAAGAGCAGGGTTCAAGAAAGTGGGGGGGTGTTGTGACATGAATTGCTGGGTTGGAGGTTGTTGTGGCATCTGGGGTTGTGGTGTGCTGAGATGTGTATATACCGTCGGATGCTGTGGAATAGGAGCAGTGTGTCCACACGGCATCATGGGGAAGCTGTGCGTCTGCTCGACAGGGATCGTAGTGGGTTGTGTCGGCAGTGTGTGCTGCTGAGTGGCAGCAATGCCAGTTGGCATCATTGCTGGGTAGCCTTGTGACTGCGGTACCCAGGTGTTCGGGTGAAATTGATTAAGCACCGGTCGGGTTGTTGGTGCGTATGGTGTTGCTGGTGGCTGCGCGGTAAAATAATCCGGCCACATAGCTGCAACGAAGTGGGTGAAACAAACACAGTTGCAAAAGCAAAGTGCAGGCTGTCCTGGTTGTCCCTGCTGGACTGATTTGAGAGGTCGTAGACGGAGAGAAGGAAGAGGGCCGAGTACTCTCCGAAGAGAGCGCTGTTTCACTTGCTGTAGACACTGTTACCGCGTCTGCACCTCATGTCAGATGCACATGCCCTTGCGGTCCCTGAGGAATAAAGAAGCGGTAGAATAGAGGGCAGACTAGCGAGGTAGCACCTGCTCACTAGACGCACTTTACTGCATTAGCCGTCCCTTACTGCACCTGCACTCATGTCAGACTCACATGCGAGCATCAGAGAGAGAGAGAGATAAAGTAGCATCGGGAGATTCTGAACGATCTGAACGAAGGCTGAACACCCGGTTCATCACCGGTCTCCCCGGAGGGTCACCACGGCGCCATGACGGAAAGCCGTTGCTCTGGAGTCTCAACGACCCACGCTGATCACACTGATGGATTCGGCCAAGAGTACGAGTGCAAGAGGAAAAAGAGAGGCATGTTGTTCATGTTGCAAAAGTTTGTCAGATTGTGGCAACCGTACAACTTGTTTGTATAATCTGGACACCACAGGGGGCCTGTCCTCAAACTAATCTTGGCACCACAGGGGGCTGCCGAAAATTGCGCAGGTACATGACTGAGCGTCCTCAATCACTTCCCTTCCAGTGACCTAGCTTCGTTGGATCAGGTCAGTCACTGGAAGCCTGATCCCCCTGCAACAGTTGATTTGGTAAATGTCCAATGTCGGATTATGTTGAAAAGCGAAATTGCAAACAGTGTAGGAGTGACCCTCTGCTCCCATGTGCTAGGGAGGTTCACACACACACACACACACACACACACACACACACACACACGCGTGCACACACACACGGAGAAGTGGCCATCATATCCAGTTTATCCATCGGCTTTCGCCTAACTTGCCAATATCATCTACCTGAGTGGTTCATCGAAACCGTAGTGTTCCATCGAATCCCTGTGACTATCGGCTTGCAAGTTTTTAGCTTGGCCTGGTTGCCAATACGCTTGCAGGTACGTCAAGGATTGTCCTCCCTTGATGTCACATTCCAATCGTGCGGTCTTCGTTGGGCAATGCACACCAAAGGAATCATTGCCCCACTGCGGGAAATCACATCCAGGAACCTTTAGCTTAGGATCAAGGCTTTCAGACACACACACACACACACATATATATATATATATATACTTCACCAGCAGTGCGGCCTCGGCATGCAGCTTCAGCACTCGCCTGTGCACAGGCCGGGAGATGAGGACGGTGGGCTGTGTGGGCTCCTACAGAGCCTCACGGCCCCTCGGCTCGCATAGGCTGCGGCGAACGTGGGACTGGCAAGTCGAGACTGGGAAGCGTTTCTACGTTTTACGGCCGGCTGCCACACTCAGAAGCTGGCTCGATACGGAGCGCCAGATTGAAGTCTGCCAGGGCTGCCTCAGAACCAAGGCTCAACGCAGCACACTTGCAGAAGCGGCTGCCACAACAACAGCTATCTGCAGTAGGGGTTTGGCGAAGGCCGAGGTTTCAATGCTGCAGCTGCCAGTCTATAGGGGCAACGCCGAATTCCCACAGTGTTCAGAGACACATCTGGCCTCCGGGAGCAGTGGAGACCCCCCTTCCGATGCCAGTTTTGGCACCGAGAGCGGGCCTACACTGTGTCTGGCTCCCATGGATTTCATGGGAGAATTATGCTCGGAGACACGGAACCGGGCCGTGTCGCGGCGGTTCCAGGCTCTGCGAGGAACATCAAAGCAGAGACTAGGTGAATCTCTGCCGGAAAGCCGAGATCGTGGCTGTTGTTGGAAGGCACCGGATCGTATTCTGTGCCATTGAAAAATGCTTGATAAGAAATCGTGTTCTCCTCTCCGGCCCGAATCCATTGCGTGATGTCCACCTCCCACCACTCGACGTCTTTGCCGGGGCACCATCCTGCCCGACCGAACGGCCAAGTGCCAAACTGATTAGGGACGACCCCGTGCGAAACCTGTGCTTGGCAACCATCGGCTTTGTTCACCACTACGTTGTCCTTGACAAGCTGGTCACTGCTGATGCCGTTCACCTCAAAGTGGTGAACATGATTGCAGAACTCCGCGCAATTGGCCTCATCGTACCCCCACCCGTGGCCGGTAATCAAGGTCGTAAGGACTATCCTGCTAGCATGGGCAGGGGCTTTGAAAGACACCGGATGTCGGGCAGCATTGTAGCTAAGGTCAAAGACGCCTCCGGACCAAAGAGGCATTCGTGCCTGAGGAGTGAGCTCTTCCTTGCTGCGTCGGAACCAGAACACAAGCGTGACGATGTACTCCTGCCAAGTGGCCAGGCGCAGTGTAGACTGTGTCTCTGAAGTCAGCAACGGGATCGCTGACGGAGCTCTTGTTAGCCAGTGGCCTTCGCGGCCGTAGGCAGTGATCCATCTCGCGATGGTGTCATCACTAGCACCACAATTAGCTGGTTCTCGCGAACGCCCTGGTGTGCAGACGAAAAGGTTCAACTCATGGTCCCATGGTGGGCAGTTTTCATCCAAGTGATCTTCACATTCTAGGCGAAGCTCTATGTCGAGCTCAGAATAGGAGCCATCCCTGATCAACTTGGCTTGTTCCAGGGTCCACGGTCTAGTGATTGAGCCTGGCATCCTCTTCCTGTCCAAAACTGGGATCCTCAACACGTCGTTTCCAAGCTCGCCCAGCTTCTTTGTGCGCTGGAGCAAATGCCCGCGGAAGCCCATTCCTCGTATCTCGTCACTCAACTTTCCAAATCCAGGAAAGGAGTTGTACCACAGCCCACCTCCCTGGCCCAGGAGAGCGACCATGCTTGGACCCTGGCGTTTCAACGCGAAGCGTAGGGACACCGCCACAGCGGAGGAGTTGCTTGGGAACATGGCCTCAAGCAGCTGCTCTCCAACGGACTTCCCGACCATCACGGCGGAGATCTTCAGACTTTCGTCACAAGGATCTGGTGCCGCACAGCCCATGAAAATGGGAGAGTCATCCTGACTGAAGATGACGACGGACGTTGCGCCAAGGGCCTGTGCTTTCTGTACCTTCTGGTAAAAGGAACACTCGCCACGAGCTGCCAAAGCCACGAAGCCTTGAAGGTTGCTCGAAACTGGTGGCCATGGCCAATCGCTTTCATCGCTTGGACCCTCACACAAAAGTCCAGCCCATTGCAAGGGCAGCTCGCTATCCACGTGCCTGTCGACGGTGGCGGCCCAGCCGCCTCGAGTACCTTGGGCCGATGTAGAAATGAGCTCTCTTTGATCGGCGTGGAAAGCCAAAACCTCCTTCTCCCTTGACCAAGCTTGGATCACCGAAGACAGCCAGCAAGCGTGGTACGGCACGGCGTCGGCAGGCTCAATCACGAAGTGCAGGTTCTGCATCATGTGCCGTGCCTTCAGGGATGAGTTTGCCAGCTGCCGAAAGCCACTTTGCAGCGTACCCATGGCTTCCTTGACCTCGAACTGAGCAGCATAGCTCATGAACACGATTTCCACATCTAGCTCTCCTGAAACATCCAGCAGCGAACGCATGTCATCAGCGGACATGCTCTGGCCTTTCTGCATCAGAAGGAACACCAGGATGGCACTGTTCTTGTGGGATGCTTCCGCTGCTTCTGGTAGCCACTCGAAATGTCCGCCCAAGCTTTTCAAGTGACAGCCCGTTTCTGGCACGTCGCGTGGCAGCTGCAAGGGTAGATGTGCTTGCTCGAGACCCCGGCAAGTCCCCGTCCTCTCACACAGCTCGTCCAAACAACACCACCCTTCCGGGTGGCATCCTGAATGCTTCTGCCCGCGGTGCCAGAAGGGAAGGAAGCAAGGCAAACCCTCTGAAGTCAGTAGCCATGTCTTTGATTCTCTTTGTGCATTCTGCTTTCGGGTGGGAAGCTTTTTCCTTTGGCCATCCCCGCTCAAGGCAGGTGGCACCTGACCAGGCACGGACAGCACGGCTTCCTCGAGGGCGTGTGCAGGGTGGTCCGTTAGGACACGGTCTTGTGAGGCCGCTCCACAAAGCAAGCATGCGATGCAGAGGAGCCTCATGGAGCGCAACATCCTTAATTAGTTGAATTTCCTTGCACTACTTGTCCCTGCAAGCCAATGCCACAACCACATCACACAGCATCCGAAACATACAGCAGCCAAGTGCCTCTGCAGAGACATTCAACACACGTGTCGTGTGACGCTCTTGTTTCCTTGAAGCCCCGATTGGCAAGTGCCAGGGTGCTACGGTGGCTCGGATGCACAGCTCTTTGTAGCTGCACGCTCCCAACTCCCTGGCTACCACGGCAACCCTCCATGTTTCGCTGCCGTGGCTCCCCTGACGCCTGCGACACTGATTGAGGCGGTCTCCCCCCTCCGGGCACATGTAAGGATGCGTGCCTCGACCGTGGCAAGCATGATCACTCGGGAATTGGAGGTGCCACGTCCACTCTGACATGCACCTGGCCCGATTGAGTGGTTTTGGCGTGCCGTGAAGTGCGAGGGCACCCATGAAGCGTGAGAAGACGGACGACCTCCTTGCTAGCATTGGCCATGATCGCTGGGAAATCATTGAAGGACAGTGGGTCGAACATCAGCTTGTCTTCCTTACGAAAGGAACGGCAAGCCGAACAGGCTGGTCAGGCTCTGGCTGCAGCCAAAGATCCAGGTAGAACTGCAGGCGTCCGTATTCCTGTGGCGCGAATGAATCGGGCATCAATTGGCCGAAGCCGGCCTGCACCTCCGGTCTTAGAGTCCAAGCTGCAATCTCTGTTTGTCTTGCCACCTGACCCTTTGCATAGGCGACATCGTGCCCCACGTTACAGACCTCCGATCCGCAGAAGTGAACTGCATGAAGTTGCTTGCAGAACCACCAAAAGGACAGGAACGGAACTGCAGTTGAGTTGCAACCTCCACTCTGGAACCGGTGGACAGGTCCTCGGGCCCCACAAAGCACAGAAGCTCTGATTTGCTCTCGGCCTTTTTTTGCGGGGACACGCAGACCAGCTTGAGCTGCTCCCCGCGAAGCTCGGCCTCGACTCTGTCAAAGGATGTCCTGGCCAGGGCCACCACTTGGTCTGAGCTGCTCCGCAGGGGCAGCTAAGTACCCGACATGCCGGACTCATCGTATTGGGATGGGAAGGCAGACGCACCTGCAACAGCCAAGCACCCGTCACGGCAAAGGCAGCTTTTTGGAACCCTCGGACCTTGGCCCTCTTCCGCCATCGCTCACACCGAAGGCGGAGGACAGTCTCTCACAGCAGCTAAGAGCCCAACAAGATTCGCAGATCTTCAGCCCTCAACCCAGCGCGATTGAATCTACGAGTAGTTCATAAATCGTCGGTGCTCCGCAGCAGTGAAGCTTCGTGGGCAAGTGGTAGGTCACCTGTGTTTCTACGTTTCTACCGAGCTTAGTTCTAGGGGAGCAAGAGATCCGCTCCACTCATGCAGATCTACCCGTCGTCAGTACCTGGTCCTCACATGCTACTTTTGCTTCTTGCTGTTTCTTCTTTCTGTTCCTACCCTCGAAATCAGCTCTTCTGGGACTTTGTTCAGCCACCGGTCGACAAGATGCCAGCATCCACCCAGCGGCCCCAGGGCATCGTGATGAAGAGACAGGAGTGCGTGCTTCAGCTTTTTCGCTTTTTCCTGCAGAGCTCCCCTGCTTAGAGTGCCCATTCCAGTCTAGTGTTCTGGAGCTCACTTTGTTTAGATCGTTGCGAATAGTTCAACCGGACCAGTCACTACAGTAAGGCCAAATGCGATAAGCTGCTTCCAAGCACCTCCACGCTTTGTGCTCTTCGCCCCCTCGAACTTGCGCTTGCCGTGCCCGCTGTTCAGTGCCGCTTCATGCTTCGCATTGACTTCGCTCTTCTTCTTCTGCGTCCATGACTGCACTGTCTCGTCACGCAGGATGGTGTCCAAGAAGCTGCGGCCACTGTGGGCATGGACCTCTCGCGTTTTTGTGTGGAGTCCGACAGGAGCCATGCCACCCCCAACCTCCGTGGCGATCGTGAAATATTTGGGGAGCTCCTGCCTGTCGTTAGCCTTGTAAAACCGTTTCGGGTCGAAGTTCGCCCTGAGCTTCAAAGCCTTCAACTCCTTCTCAAGCTCCGGCGTCATGCGATGCTTGGGCAAGCCGAACCATTTGTCCAGCTTCTCCGTCCGGTTCTTCTTTGCCTCCTCACGTCTCTCCTTAACGTCATTGACAGGGCGAACGGGCATGCCGCGCACCTCCCGTTGCTGGAGGCCGTCCAGGTGCGCACGAGCAGGCGCCTCCTGGACCTGTGATCGACAAAGGTCGCTTGCGCTGGCCTGGTACTGACCAGCTACGGCCGAAGTGTCGAAGACATTCTCCCCGGTACCATGCAGATATAGGTTTTCGGGACCGAGCCCCACATCCAGCTTCAGTTGTCCGGGATCCCGACGACTAGAAGCTTTCACTGCAAAACTGACGGCCTTCTCAGCGATGGCATCGATGTCGAGGTCTGGCGGTTCCTCCTCCAGCTCCTCTTCAGTCTCCTCTTCGAGGGCCTCTTCTGGTTCGCCCCTTTCTGCTTTTTGCTTGCCGCGCTTACCTTTGGCCATTGCTCTTGGAGAACATGGAAAATACTACTGTGGCCGCCAAGGGCAGCAGAATGCACGAGCCACTACTGTGGGAGTCATGTCGCTTGGCTGTCGCTTCAACTTTTTGCTTTATGTTGTCGGATTATTCCGCGCTTCGAACACATCGCTGCTAGCTTGATGACAGAGTGCAGCAGGTCTCCCAAGCAGAAAACAGGCTTCCAGTGAGTGAGCTGCTACTGAGCCCCCGTCTTCCACCTCGCCGCGTTTTCGCTGCACCTCCCCGCGTGTGTGGATGGCATACCTGAGTACAGTCAGGACATGCTCACCTGCTTTTGTGGGATCTTGCTTAAGTTTAAGGAGCCGGCACATTTTTGGGCTCCACTTTGATCACTCGATCCAGATCTGCAACAGCCTGGAGGGCAAACAGCAGGCCAGTGTGCTTGAACCTCGACATTCCGTTGGTCTCGCTGTGGCCTTTCAACGTTTTCTTTGCAGCTTTCTGGGTGGAGCGTGTCGAACAACAGTTTCTGTTCAAGCACTTAGGCTTGGTGCGGGCCCGGCTACATGGCACGTCGTGCTGCAGCGATTGCTCACCAAGTCTTTCCATGTAGCTATGCTTCACAAGGAATTTAGGATTGCTTCAGGTGTCTAGGGGCCATCAAGTCCACGTGCCTTCAGGGACACGGTTTTCGCACCCAAACTCCGGAAGCTTTTCACGATTGCTTCGACCCAAGAAGGCCATCAAGCAATAAGCAAATAAACATGAAACTGCAGATCGAGGCAGCGAGGGCACTGTACAACCCACTGCCCATCAAGGCCGTTGGAGCTGCAAGCGCAGTCTCTGACTGCCAGCAGCACCATGCTCGCGATCGCGACGGCGAAAGGGCCTTGGACACTGCAACACGCCTGCGACACGCGATACCCAAACTAATATCCCGGACTTGCGCAGAGAGAGGGTCCAAAGAGTCTGTACCAGCTGCCAGCTTTCTCTTGCGGCCAGGTCGCTCTGTCTCTCAACATGAAGCTCACTGTTTTGCATAGCCTGGAGCAGGAACTGCGGGGGCCGTGTAGCCTCTGCAGGACGCTTTCGGCATCTTCGGGCTTTTCCCTGGACTCCTCATTGGTTCCTCTGAGTCTCGGACCGCCTCCGTAGCCTCCCGAGCGGCATGGAACCTGCGAACGCTTTCGCTGGCATTCGCTGAGCCGTTCGTGGACGCACCCGGCCAAGGGGCCTCAAAGGACATTCCCGGAGCCAAACCACCGGGAACGGTCACGGAGAGCTGCTGCCCATCAGGGGCCTCAGCATTGCAAACAAAAATCATGCACCGCAAAGAGAAACCCAAAGGCACCCTGCACGGGCTAAAGAAGGCAAGAGACCGTCAAGCTTAGCTGCGATCCGGCCTCTCAGGCACTCAAGCTCATCAGCCAAAAGTCGACGCTCCTGGTGTTATGCCTTTGGGTCGAACTGCAGGGTTTTGGAGGAAAAGGCCATGGGGTGAGGGCTCAACGTACTCTGCATTTTATGGAATGCATGCTCTGTGTGGATTGGCTCTGAAAAAATCATGTTTTTATATTATCGCGTGCCTTGTGCGAAGTCGGTAATCTCTTGTTTAAACACTGTACTTTCTCCGTAACAACGTGTAAATGCCGATTGTACATGCAAAAAGTACGAACTGTCCATAAGACACCGTGTGTGTGCTCCTCCGGCCGTGGTCTTTTCTCGGCACCCTTGGAAAAATCATAACAAGTGCAAACTTTTCATAAATTGAAAAGCGGGGGAGCCAGAAGCGTTCGTCCCCATGTCACACCCTGGGTGTTGTCAAGTTTCTTTTTCTGGGTGCAAGGTTATTCACCCACAAGCGGTGTTTCCCTATATTCAGCTTCAATGCCTGTAATTCTGTTCTCGAAATTGAAAAGTCTGAAATTTCATAGATGATCCTTGCTTGTTTGCAGCCTCTCCCAACACATGCATGTAGTGCAACACATGCAAAGTCATGTTCCTGGAGCCATTGGATCCCAACTACAGCCGCTAGGCTTGAAACCGGTCTGGCCTCACAGCCTTCAGGAACTGTCACAGTCATGGTTCCTCACTGCAGGACTGCTCAGCTCTGCCCAAGCTTGAGAGCACTTGGCGCCAAGCCAATCGCCGGAGGCGGCGGGGCTCTTTGCTCAGCCTCCACATCCACCACCTGCGCCAAGAGTGCTGAGCCGCGCGATTGCTGTCGCCCGGCGACACCCGGCGACGGCAGCTGAAAGGCGCCACCGTCAGCCATCTGCCTCCAGGTCACCCGCAGCCGGAGGCAGCGCGCCTACAAGAGCTGAACTCAGAGAACGTGGTGGTGCAACGCGGTTTTTCTTGAGCCCGCCGCCTTTTGGCATGGTTTCGGCCTCGAGCCCCGCAAGGAGCATCTTCATCATGCGGTCCTGCCAGGGGACCCATAGCACGAGATATCACGAGATCCTATCGCAACTCGCTCCTGTTCCACGCGGAAGCGCATGGATGCGCTGAAGTTCTGATACCTGCTCATGCTCGACGCGGGACCGTTCCTCCCCGGAGCTGTATACGAAGCTGAAACTTTCATCCGAGATGCTCGGTCTGCTGAACCCTCAGTTGCAGGAAACGCTTTGCTTTTGTGGGTGATGGCTGTCAGTCAACTCACATCCTCCATCGAGGCTGTCCAAATGGCAGAGAGTGCATCAAGTCCCCCAGGGCCGCCTGGGAAGGAAGGGAGCTCAGGAAGGTCCAGCCCAGCCCGAGAAAGCCAAGGCCCAAAGCCTAAAGCCCGACGCTTTCTTCTGTCAGGCCACCGGCTTACAGATGAGGATGAGAGGCTTCTCTGAGTCTCCCTGTCAGCTCATACTAGTGCTTCTAGTGCCCTTCGAACAAAGCCGCCTATAAGGAGTCGTGCCTGCTCTGTTGCTTTCGCTCTAAGCTCTTCCTTCTTCTCCTCCACCTCTGCCAGCACCCTGCCACATACGACAGCGAGGTGTGCAGCAGATTTTCGGTTCGTCATTCGGGCGGTGCCTCTTCAGTTGTGCATCCACCTGCTCCTGGTCCTCCGACACAGCTGGGCAGCAGAGTGACAGGAGACCGTGCAGTGATCCTTGTGCACCAAACGCTGCAGCTCGTTGAAGAGGCCCTGGGCATCCTGGTGAAAGCCTTCCTGTCCGCATCTCCGAAATACCGCTCACGAGAATTTGGCCCTGACGCCACAGAGCTCCTGAGAGCAGAAATCCAGCAGGCGATTCTCTATGATGGAGGTATACCTCGGCTGTCTCACATCCAGGAATTAGACCACCCTCAATGCAACACAACCGGAAGGCAACTCAAGCCTACTGCAGTCGCAGTGTCTCCTGGAATGCCGCATACTGCTCATGGGTATGGCCCTGATTCGCGAGATTTTCCGCCTGTGCTCGATATCCCAAATCCTACTTCGAAGCTCTAGACTCTAGACTTTAGACGTTCTATCAACATCGGCATCTTCATTTCCAACCGTTGGCCTCTTGATCGAAGACCGACGTCCATCGAGTGTAGAACCTCAGTTTCATCAAGTCTGGCCCGGCCCCAAATCAAGGCACGGCAGTACGAACGACACCACTTGGTGCAGAGTGGTCACTCGTGCAGGTCATCGTTCAACAGCTTCATGGCCTTGTGAGTTCGTCTGATTTGTTGCTGCATGGTGCAGAAAACTCAAGTAGGCATCCAACGAAGTGGATGAACCGGTGTGCAAGCCCAGTCTCACCCATCATTAACTCCTGCACTTCAAGAGCATTTCTCAAGGTATCAGACGCTTGCACAGCACAGTAGGGCGGAGATTCTCCGCACGCGAAGCAAATCAATCAAGCATCTTTGCGAAACAAGCAGGTAAGTCTGTCTGGCAATGTGCCGCGCTTCTGTCATGAAGCATCCGTACCGCGTCTGCCACCGTGTGCCTTTGCGAAGTGCTGCTGAACCATGAAAGCGGACTAAACGACACGGGTGGTAGAAGCTCTGGAGGACAGCAATGAACAAGAGAACAAGAGTCGACTAATTAGGTCCGGCAATGTCCGAATCTCTCCAAGATTCACTGCCAGGCCAATACCCCGGCCCCTTGCCACAGCTAGCGGAAGCTAGTGCGGCAGCTCACGAGATCGCGAGCTTGAGTACTTTGTACAAGATCTGTGCAGACACAATAAACAAAACGGAGGCCCTTCGGCTTAGGTGAGCCTCTCCACAATTTCAACATACTCCTGCCAGGAGCACACATCCCAGAAGGGCTTCCCACTGCTTTCTCGGACCCATTTCCGGTGCATGGCGGAGCATGTGAAGATTGCAGTCTTAATGTCAGTGATCAGCGAAACAGCTGATTCGATAGCACCTCGCCTAATCTTGAAACCATCTGTGAGGGCATCAGAGTCCATAGAGTCCGGGATGTCGATGACCAAATCAATCTTTCCCGTCTGCAGCATGGTTAGCACATTCGGCTCTCGTTTGACCAACGGCTTGTAGACCAGGCTGCAAGCGAGTTGGTTTGTAGTCAGGTACTCGTGTGTGTTCTTCGTGGCAAAGAGGGCGAAGCCCATGTCCCGAAGCTGCTTCGCAGCGCCGCTTGCCAGGAACTCGGCCTTCGCCGCGGCAGGACCTATGGAAACCAAGATGTTCTTGGTGGGAAGCTTGAAGTTGGCCGCCAGCATGCCCTTCAAGAATGCCTCGTAAGCGTTGACCCCAAAACAGGCCACCTCACCAGTGGAAGACATCTCGACACCCAATCGGGGGTCCGAGTTCTTCAAGCGGCCGAAGGAGAACATCGGAACCTTGCAGGCGACGAACTCAATGTCCATCGGCTGGATAATGGCAGGATGAACAGGCATCCCGGTCATGATGCGAGTCGCGAGCTCGATGAAATTGACATTGTAAGTCTTGGAAATGAACGGCATGGATCTGGATGCTCGAAGGTTGCACTCGATAACCTTCACTTCGTTCTCTTTGCAGATGAACTGAATGTTGAAGGGCCCCGAGATCTTGAGGGCACGGCAGAGTTTCTGAGAGATGCCTGAGCTGAGCGGAAAAGGATGTTCTCCAAATTTTGAAGGACATGGTAGCAAGGTACAGAACTCCTACACTAGCAGCCAAAGTGCTTTTCACCTTGCGATGGGTCTCTACGAAGAGGCGTTGGGCGGGCAGGAGCAGAGTGGCATCTCCACTGTGGACCCCGGCGTTTTCCACATGCTCTGCGATGGCATAGTTCACAAGCTCTCCTGCCTTGCCCACGCCATCCATCTCCACCTCCTTTGCCCCAGTGATGTACTTCGAAATTACAACTGGGTGGTCTCGGCTCACCACTGCTGCTGTCTTCAGGAACATGTCCAAATCGCCATCGTTGGTGACCTTGGGAAAGAACTTCCACAACGCAGACTTGAAGGTACTATTCACAAGTGCACACGACTCTGGAGCCCATTAGAGGAAGTAGATTCAGCTTAGTGACCACGCGCATGGCCGCGCCAGAGAGGACGTAAGAGGGGCGCACCAGCACCGGGTAGCCTGCGACCTTGCAGAACTGCCGGGCTTCCTGCAACGTCGCAAACTGCGACCACTCTGGTTGATCGATGCGAAGGGAATCGCAAAGCTGGCTGAACTTGTTGCGATCCTCACAGGCATCGATGGCCTCTACAGATGTGCCAAGAATTCGGATTCCGCATTTGTGCAATCCCAAAGCCAAGTTGTTTGGGGTCTGGCCGCCGACAGAAATCACCACGCCCCGTGGGTGCTCCAGTTCTGCGATGTCCATTACCCGCTCGTGGCTAAGCTCTTCGAAGTAGAGCCGATCTGACTCGTCGAAATCTGTGGAGACCGTCTCGGGGTTGCAATTGATAACGATGGCTGTATGGCCCAGTGATCGAAGGGTGCGAATGCACGAGACGCTGCACCAATCGAACTCTACACTGCTTCCGATCCTGTAAGGCCCACAACCGAGCACGACGATTCTGGAATCAGCATCCACATCCTTCTTTGCCTTGTTGCTCTGCTGCATCACATCCGAAGAGCTGTGGAAGTTGAGCGCAAGCGGTTCCGGAATCGCGGAGCCCGGATTCAACTCGGTAATCTGTAGCTCGGAGCACTGCTTGTCGCTCCCCGCAAGGTCCAGGTCGTGCTCATCTCCGCTGTAGGTCACGTAGAGGTAGTTTGTAGTGGCCGGGAACTCTGCCGCTAACGTGTCGATTTGTTTGACGGTTGGGACGATGCCAAGCTTCTTACGAAGGTGCCGGACATGCGCTTCGGACACGGGGCCTCCAGAGTAGCGCTGGGAGCCATGGTCAGTGGGCAGCAGCTGTGGGGAGACCTCGCTGTCCATGATCTTTTCTGGTGCTGAAATGATCGCAGCGATCTGCTTGTCAGAGAAGCCGCGAGTCTTCGCCTCTTTCAGGAGCACTGGATTCTGCCGCAGCTCGTAAAAGTCCAAGCACTTCATGGTACCCTTCAACATGTGCAAGCCATGCAGCTTCGACAGGAACCAGCGATCAATGTTGGTCAAAGTATGAATCTCTTCCACATTCATGCCATGCTCGAAGGCCTTGGCAATGGCCCACATTCGCACTGGAGTGGGGTTGGCTAGTTCCTTCTTGAGCTCCACATCGAAGTTTGGACCAGAGGTGGCTAAGCCACGGCGGCCGAGCTCCAAATCGTAGCGGATCGGATCAAATCCCAGGCTTGCCTCATCCACCATGCGCAGCGCTTTCTGGATTGTCTCCTCGAATGTTCGCCCAATGGCCATGACCTCTCCAACACTCTGCATCGCTGAGCCTATGCGGGCATCGACAGTGGAGAATTTCTGAAGGTCCCAGCGAGGCACCTTCGCAACACAGTAGTCAAGGGAGGGTTCGAAGCAGGCAGTCGTGCACTTGGTCACGCTGTTTCGCAGCTGGACGAGGTCGTGTCCCAGCGCCAGCTTCGCCGCCACATAAGCCAGGGGGTAGCCTGTGGCCTTGGAAGCGAGAGCACTGCTTCGAGACAGCCGGGCATTCACTTCAATGATGCGGAACTCTGAAGTCTTTGTGTCGACGGCATACTGGATGTTGCACTCCCCCACAATCCCCAGGTGTCGGATAACTTTTAAGGCACACTGGCGAAGGCGATAGTACTCCGCATTTGTCAGCGTCTGGGAAGGCGCAATGACAATGGACTCGCCTGTATGAACACCCATGGGGTCAAAGTTCTCCATGTTGCAAACTGTGATGCAGTTGTCGTTCTTGTCCCGAACGACCTCATACTCCAGCTCCTTCCAGCCCTTCAAGGACTTGTCGATGATGACCTGAGGGCTGTTGACCAATGCCACGTTCACCAAACGTCGCAGCTCCTCCTCGTTGTCTGCAAAGCCGCTGCCAAGGCCACCCAGTGCGTAGGCTGCACGGACCAAGACCGGGTAGCCGATCTTCGCAGCCGCCACAACTGCATCTGCGACGCAATCGCAGCAATCACTCTCGGCGATTTTCTCCCCGCAGGCCTCCACGACTTTACTGAAGAGATCACGGTCCTCGGTCTTCATGATGGCCTCAATCTGCGTGCCCAATACCTTGACATTGTACTTCTCAAAGACCCCTCGCTCGTGCAGCTTCACGGCACAATTGAGAGCCGTTTGACCCCCAAAGGCTGCAAAAATCCCATCTGGCTTCTCACGCTCGATCACTTTAATCACGAAGTCCGGTGTCACTGGCAGAAAATAGACCCTGTCCGCCATGCCGGCCGATGTCTGAACTGTAGCGATGTTCGGATTGATAAGGATGGACATAATGCCGGCCTCTTTCAAGGCTTTGATGGCCTGACTGCCAGAGTAGTCGAACTCACCCGCCTGTCCGATGGTGAGGCCACCAGATCCCAGCACCAGCACTTTCCTGTAGACTGTGGGAATGGAGTAAGGCATCGTGGTGACAGGGGATGCGGTGGGCTCGGCAATGAACTGCAGGAAGTAGTCAAACAGGAAGTCAGTGTCTGTAGGTCCACCGCATGCCTGGGCAGACAGACAGCACATGCAATCGCCCTCTGCTACCAGTACTACACCTCATCACCTTCTACATCGCCTATGCCCGCAGGCCCTCCGCAGCGGGCTCAGCCTGGCCTCCGGATGGAACTGCACCGAGAACCACGGTTTGGAGGAGTGGATGATACCCTCATTCGTGCCGTCGTTGGCGTTCATCATCAGTGGCACCCAGTTTTCCGGTAAGCTGGAGCTGTCAACCGCGTACCCATGATTCTGGGCTGTGATGTAGCACTTCTGTGTGCGTAGATCCACGACTGGCTGGTTCATCCCCCGGTTCCCAAACTTCATTTTGTAAGTAGATGCTCCAGCGGCCAAGGCGAGAATCTGGTTCCCAAGACAAATTCCGAAGATAGGGGTCTTGGGCCGCTCCCGCATGATGGTGCGCACGTGCTCCACCGTCTTGGCACACTGGGTGGGATCTCCGGGGCCGTTGCTCAAGAAGAGGCCATCGAAACTGTCCTGAGTGAAGTCGTAGTCCCATGGGACCACGGTGACTCGGAGCCCGAGCTTCACGAGGCAGCGGATGATGTTGTTCTTCATGCCACAATCCACGGCCAGGACATGCACGTCTCGGTGCAAGCGAGGGTTGGGCTGCGAAGGCGCAAAGACTTCCTTCTGCTTTCTGGACACCTCTGCCACGAGATTTCGTTTGTTGGGGTCATCCACGACAAGGTGTGAGCTCGGCGTGCTTCCCTGCACGATAAGCTTTCCCAACATGGAACCAGTCTTACGAATCTGCTTCGTAACGAGTCGTGTGTCCACGGCATAGATGCCTGGAACACCTTGAGACTCCAGCCACTCTCCCAACGTCCGAACGCAACTGTAATGCGAAGGTTCGTAGGAATAGTCGGAAATCACCACTCCCCTCAAATGAATCTTGTGACTTTCGAACCACTTGGGCAGTCCAAACGCATCTTTCTCATCGGAGGGCACGCCATAGTTTCCGACCAGCGGATATGTGATGACCAGGATCTGCCCAGCATAGGATGGATCCGTCAAGGACTCCGGGTATGCCACCATCCCAGTGTTGAAGACAACTTCGCCGGACACAGAGACCGGAGCACCGAAGGAGTAGCCCTTGAGCACCGTGCCATCGACCAGCTCAAGGTTGCACTTCCTCCGTGCATTTAGCCACCGGAGGAAGTCCATGGGCTCACCCGAGGTCGGCTTAGCATCCATGGGCTCTACGGACTCGAAGCCCACAACATCCCAACCCATCTTCTCCGGGCTTTCCGGCCAATCGCACATACAGCGCTACAGGGAGTTTATGAGAGCCAGACTGCTGCAGGCACAGAATTCAGAACGCTGTCGTGAAAGGCTTAACGTTCAATGACTTGCGTTAATGAGCAGCAAGGTGCGCCCCTGCACGTTCCAATGCACGGTTACGTGATGTCATACTTCTGGGAGTTCTGCGAGGGGTCCGTAGATACACTTCCACACTGCACAACACGCTCGCATCCTGTTTGCGGCGTTCCATCTCGCGGATGAACTTCTTCTGCTGGACTTTGGCCCGCCTGCGAAAAGGACAGGTCTCCAGGAATCTGGGTCGCACGCGGCCCGGCACATGAGGCTGCTGAAAGAGGTGTACTCCGTCATGTGGAGAAGCATCCTTGGCTCAAGCATGCGTCTTGATATGGCAAAATGGTTCACCGTGCGGATATCCGTCAAAATCAGAGGCCGGGCGTCTCCATCATGTCCTCCACGGTCTGAGGTCTAAAGAGCGCCTTCATCAGATCCACCTCCCCTTGCACCATTCTACGCCGCGAGCTTGCCGAAACACGAAACGACTGAAAGACGCCCCGTGCCTTGCTCCATTGGAGGTGCTTCGGGGCCCAGTCTCATGCGCCGCTGCTGCTCCATGTGCACCAAGAACGCCTGCAGAGAGGTCGGACAGACACTGCTTGATCCTGCATCGCAACTTGGATGTCAAGATTCTACCAGAATCGGCCTCAACTTGCTTCTCCGCCCGGACCTTTTCAAAAAAATCTGTAATCAGTAGAGCCGGTAGAAGCTCTCGTTCTGGCGCCTTGTCTTCTTCGATGGCCCGCTGCAGCTCCGAAAGGAAGCTTCCAGCATCCCCGGGGCTGTACCTCCGAGCTCGGCTCTAGTCCCCGGGCCCTTGGAGGCACATGGGGCCCTTCCCTCTTCAGCTTCCCGACCCCTCTTGCAGCGCGAAGTTGGAAGCATGCTCCTCCATACTCGCGACGTACTCGCGGTACGCGGCGTACCTCGATTCGCCGGGAAAGGCGCGTGCAGCAAGACCCTGCAGTCCGCGGACAAGCTTGGATTCTCGCTGCTCGTGTGTTTCGCCTTGCTGCACGAACTCCTTCACATCTTGGTCAAAGATAGGCATAAACCTTGGCACGCATGAACGTGCGTGAACACCCTTCGAAAGAGCTGCATGCAAGCGTCGGTCGTCGGTCTGCCATTTCGACAGATCTGGTGGCTGCTTGCTCGCCCGAGACACCTCTCGAACAGTGGATCCATGTCCTCGTTGAGCGTTCTCAGTGCCTGTGCTTCGCATCAACAGTCACACGCAAGGCTCATGGTGAAACCAGTTTGGATGTGTGCTGTCATCACCGAGCTCGTCACGAAAGCGCAGAAGCGGTGCGCAACTGTTTCCTTTGCTGTCTCCTGCATTACGCTCTGTGTTGACTTTCTTGGCATCAAGCTGTGCTGAAACGAACAAGTCACAAGTCTAGGCTCCTCCATCTCTCCGCCGATGTGTCCAGGAAGTGCAAACAGCATGGTGTCGCAGATGTCTACCCGCTATTTCCCGCACGGTATGGCATCTGTGTTTTGAACAAGAATGACAAGAGTCTTTTCGCAACTGTGGTCGACAGTGATCTCATCGATAGATGAAACCAGATGGCGTGCACACCAGTGATCTTAAGCTCGAGCCAGCTGCGAACACGAAAAGTCCACCCTCTGCACGCTTCTAAGTGGCTGGGTCCTGCTGTGCTTGAGCCTCTAACAGTAACATTGCAGTCCACGGAACCCAGACCTTCTCCATCTCGCCCCGGTCTCGAAGAGCTATAGCACGAGCGATTCGAACCTCTCTGCGGAAGAAATTGTCGCAAACCGTGGGATGTCCCAGCGTGAGGTCGCCTGTGTGTTCGCGGGCTCCAGCTGTACCGCCATGTCGAAGTCCTCCAAGGCCTCGAGCCATGCAGGAGTCTGGCAATTTGTTTTTTTCGGACTCCTTTGGCAGGTGCCTTTGCAAAGGATTTCCACAAAAAAGGGCTTTTCAAGCAAACGTCTCGAGTCTACACTGCTTTGCAGCATCTTCAGGACGTGGGCCAGGAAGATTTTCCCTGGCCCAGCTCCATGAACAAAGCACTGTGGAGCCTCCGTTACATGGTTGTAGAGTGTTCCGTTCCTGACACTCAGCAGTCGTGGAATTGATGTTTCGGGGATGTTGCCGATCGTCAATACCAGCCGTCCAGAGTAGTCCAGCGTCATCAAATCCGGCCGATTGAACAAGGTCTCGCCTTTATTCATCTCGATATTCGAAGCTAGCATCAGGTACAGCCGCCCCTACTTCCAACATGAAACTCCTTTGCACATCCACGGGGCCTGCCACCAGCTGATCCGTCTCGTTGAAGTTGTTGTACAGCTTGACCCAAAGGTTCACAGTGGACAGCCTTAGCAACCAATGTCAAGCGCAAAGCACCAGCAGCTGCCTGGACCGCTGAGGTGGGGATTTCAATCGCCCGCCTAGTTGCACATGCACGGCCTCTCCCATCAGAAAGCCACTGTTCAAGTGTTGGTATGCAGGTGGCGATGAGCAGAAGGAGTCATATCCTAATGCAGCATCAGGCTCGGGCTCGGCTCCCCAAAACACGGCAGCTTCCGTTCCCGCATCCTGGAAGATCCAGGTCCCGGCATCGCCTGCAGTCTCCGTAGCTTCCCTGGGACCACAGTCACGTGATAGAGTTGAATTACGTGCGCGCTGAAGGCTTCAGCCCCAAGCAGCCCAGGCACATACGATTCTGTCATGCCGAACGCTTGAAGCGAAGAGGCTTGCCGTTGAGTGAAGTTTCTGTACCTCAGAACCACTCCAATACCTCCCATGCTCTGCCAGATTTGGGACTAGCTCCCCGTCAGTGGCGAGGGGCCAGGTGCAGGTGTCGCTCCATGGAAAGCAGCAGTTTTCAGCACCCCACACAACTTTTGCCTGGCTGACATCGAGAGTTTTCCGGAAAGATTCCAGCAGCCTCCGTACCATTCAAGCTGTCACCATGCTTTGTGCACATACGGCTGCACTTTTCGATGTCATCGCGGACAACTTATGAAATCAAGGCTCTGATCATCAGAGCAGCCGCCGAAAATTGTATCGAAGCCATCAGCGAGAATCACCTGTGCTCCATGCACATAGAGAGCAGTCTAACCCGACAAATGCAAGGAAGAGACGAGCGCAGCCTGATCCTGGACTGCCGAGCAACTATGCGATCGGGAAAATCAACAGCGAACTTCTTGAGATACTTCTGGTAGAGGCGGGGCTTGTCATACCAGGAATTCCACATCTGGTCCGCGCCCGCATTGATAACGGCGACATTTCCAGAGCCCAGCATTGCGAAGTCACGCGGCTTGTCCGTGTCTACCTTGCACAGCGAACCCGAATGAGTCGTAGCAAGTTATATCTCGCTTGCTCTGAGCAGCTGAACTTGGGCCAAAGAACTGTGATCACCGTGAAGTTCGTGAGGCCCGCGGTTGCTTCCACCGGTGCTTCGAGCGCACGGTCCCACATCCGAGTCAAGAACTCTTCGGCCAAGTCATTCGCTGCCTGCCGCGAATGTCGAACCGGTGTGTTGACTGACACCGTCTCGGTCCCCCCCTGGACTTCCTGGCCTCGAGCTTCTCCAAGTAAGCTCGCAGCCGCAGCTTGTCATCTTCGAAAGCCGAGCCAGTGAAGATGCCGTCATTTATGAATTTGTACAACACCAGGACAATTGGCACGGCGCACGCAGCAAGCAGCCAGGCCGGAAGCATGGAGTTGTCGGACTTGAGCACGCATCCTCCGACTGAGGAGGATCCGGAAGCATCGGTGCCAGCAGAATGAGAAGCGAAATACTCTCAGACACGATTTCGCATGCTTGCTCTAGCAGGTTTAAGCTTGAGCCCTTGAGCCCTTGAGCTTTGAAAACACCACGGTGGCACGAACCAGTGTCCAATCGCATGCAGCTATCCTGGACTCGAGGATGCTTCAATTACCTGACTATTGGGGCATCATTCGGGCAGGCTGTGCATGCACTCTAACCTGAGAAGCCTGGACTGTACTGCTGGACCGGGCTGTCAAGCTTCCTTTTCCCCTGGGCCTGTGGCAGGCGCCCTTGTGACCGCAAGACGGAGCCACGGCCCGCCAGCGCCAGGGCCTCAGAATGAAAGCCCTCGAAGACTGCAAGCATCTGCAAGCTGCATCTAGGCTCCTTATCGCCGATTGGCGAATCGGCTTTCCTCTCCTGTGCCATGCAGCACCTGCAATGTACGAGGTCCCGGCAAAGTGCGGATCAACTGCGAGGGCGGCATTGAAGTCTGCCAGCGCCTTTCGCACACGGCAGCTTCGACAGGAGGGCTCTGAAGGCCTCGCACTGATATAACTTTCGCTTTGCCTTCTGGAGGTCGCCGAGCTTCCGGTGCTTCTCACCCCGGCGCTGAAGCACGGAGGCCTCGGTCTGACTATCCCGTTCTCGTGGCTGCTCTTGGCTTCATGCCTAGTATCTACTCCGGACAACACGCGGGACGTATCTTCCTGCGGAAGCGATGTGCCAAACGTCTCAATGTTGACACCGTGGTGCTGCAAGAATCGCGCCCGTTCCGCAGATGGCTCAGGAAATACATTCGATGGGGCTCAAAGGCTTGCGCTGTTGAGTCGCTACCTGGTCCGCTGAAGTCTGAAGCTCGGAAAGACCTCGTCCCCAGAGCCCCGAAGCAATTCTCATGCATTCTTGAGCATCTCGTCCGCTGTTTTTGTTAGAGTCCCAAGGTTCATCTCAAGCTTCGAGGAGCTGGAGCCAGCAACTGCTCCAGGGTACGTTAGGCACTGCCCTTGTGCCAAAACGCAAGCCGAGATGCATTGCCAAGGTTGAGCTCGAGCGATGCGGAGCATTCCTGGGCACTGCTAGAGCTCCACCAACCCCTGACTTCAACAGTTTAGTCTTCGTCAGGGACACCTCGATCGCCACGAGGAGCTCTTTTCTGCCTTGGCACAGAATGACAGCGCCATCGAGAAGAGCAATCGCTCGTCTGGGTGGCCGGCGCTGAGCATCATCGGTGGCCATGCACGAGGATGCGCGCGGAAGCTTTGTATCTCTGTGACATTTTGTGACTGTCAGGCTCGTTTGGCTTCATGATGCGGGACCGCTTCCTGGCGTGTTTGACTACGACGTGGTTGGTCACGGGCAGGTGTTGCATGTGATTAAGTCGTACCCACTGCAGGGTCGGTATCTATCCTGCATGCTTCTGAGAGCAGAAAGCAGTAGAGTCAGTAGAGTGGATCAGTCTCGGGCCTCTCCAGCTCTCAAACATGCCTTCACATCGACCAGCTATTTGTCTCGTCAAACGATATCCGCAACTCGCGCACAGCCGTTGGTCGCGGCACCCAGACCTGCACTAGCAACACTAGGGCACAGAGAGAGGGGACCGGGGGTGTCCACTCCGACCTCGGCGCCGGCCCAGAAGTTGAGAAAACCTGCGGGCCCCGGAAGGGGAACGGAAGGGGAGGGGGACGCCGGGTCTGAGTGCAGCTATGTGGCGGTGGACCCAGGGCACCTCAGTCGCAAGGGGCCACCGTCACTGGCAGAGCTAGGATTTCGGCAGCCTGGTGGAAGAGCACGGCGAAGTGGACAGCAGAGGCGCGTTCTTCGCAAGCCAAGCCTTTCTTAACAAAAGAATACCCGCATCACAGATCCATGCTGCTTGCTCCGCACCGACGTCTCTGGATGCCAGATCTCTCTGGCAAGCCCTGTGCTGTTCGAGGGGCTTTGTTGGAACTCATCCAAGATCTGCGAATCCTGCGTTAAGCGAAAGTGCTTCCTTGGGGAGCGAAGCACCGGAAATCACCAGTCAACAGCGAGAGTCAAAGAGTCGAAGTCTTGTGCCAAGCCACCTCCCATCATCCGCGCTGATTGCTTGCAAGTCCTTCAAGCCGCACCACTCGTGACTTATGAAACTCCTGGTCCTGTTCGCACAGCGGCAGAGAAGTGGGGTCCCATTCCATGGCTGCTCGGATGTAGCTGGCAATATCTTCAAGGAAGCTCGCACATCTCACGCGGACGGCCATGAAGTCCTGCAAAACAGCGCTTCGGGTCGGGCAGCCCCGGCAGAGGCAACGACCAAGCAATCCGTTCGGAACAATCCGGTCCAGAAGACCGGGAAACACGGCATCGCCTTGGCAACGTAATTGCCGTCTCTTGCTGGCTCTTGAGAGTCGAATAGCAAAACCTTCACAAAGCAACTACAATGGTTCTGAGGTCTGAGGACTCCTAGGTTGACGTTGACAATCGAACAGGGGATCTAGCACGCCGTTCAGAAGGCACGGCATACAACTTGAAGCGAGAGAAGTATTTTGGATCTCAATCAGCCACGATGCGCCACACCGAGTCCGCAGGCAGCCGCCAGAGAAGCTCTTGCGAAGCCCATATGCTTCCCGTGCCACGGGCCGGCAGCCAGACAGCCCACGGCATGTATGTCCAGCGATGAGGAAGGAGGTGGTACATCCAACCTGCAGAGGGAAAAAACGGTAGCCACTGCTGACTGCAGCGGTTCTTTCAGCACGGCCCATCTGCTGAGGTCCAGACTGTGCTCTGTGTTGTTCAAGAGATAGACAAAGGCTAATCCCTCGCCGAGATTGCAAAAGCCATCGCCCTTCTCTGCATACCCTAAGATCACAGGCTTGCAGGATCTGGCGGAGCACCGAACTGCCTCATGCAGACCCAAAGAATGGTTTATGTTGAGCCTCGCAGCCACGCAGCACAGCTCCCGTCACTAGCTCCGCCCAGAGATGTGCCCGCTCTCGCAGCCGCGAAAGCAGAAACAGCTGCAGAGGAAGCCCCAGGACTTGCGGATCTGCCACACCCATCAAGTGGTCCTCAAATGCCCCCACGAGCACGTTCCACGTAAGCATGTGACTACAAGTAGTTTGGACTAAAAGTGCAGATGCCTCACGGAACGCGTCGCATTCCTTCGCGAGCTCCACCGGGTCGTCCAGAAAGATGAAATCTCCTGGACCAGTGAAAGCAGACAGGAAAGCGATGGAGAGCAGCCATAAGTCACGATGTCCTGCATCCACCCAGACCAACTCCTCCACGGCCTCCGCTTCCGGGATCACCAGATGTGGGAACACCCGAAGCCATCCTTCAGGAGCACATCTCGCACTCGGCTCTCTTATCTTGGGAGAGTCCAGCTCAGCCGTCGCTTGCAAAATAATCTCGTGTCGGTCCCAAGTTGCAAGCTGCCTGCCACTATTAAGTTGCTCGGGATCGGGCGGTTCGAAAATATCACTCTCCCATCGCCCCTAGCTCTCTGCATGCACATCGCTCTGCCTCTGCCCTCTCAGCATGCTGCCACGCCTGCGCTCCCGTAGTGGCCGCTGTACTGCAAGCAGCTCTCGGGAACGAGGGCGCGGATCTCCGACCATGCATCGTGAAGCTCTTCGACCCGATACAAGCGAAAGGAGCCTGTCAAAGTTCACTGCACTGAGATGCGCTTTGCGCCCGCGAAATCCCTTCTTCGGGTGCCTCGGGAGCGAAGCCAGGGCTCGAGGGAAGCCAGGGCGGCCTGGACATCGGCCTGGCCGCTTTCGTCGACGATCAGGTGGAAGCGCAACGGGCAGCTCGCGAAGAAGAGCGCCGAACGAATGCCCGCAAGCGCTTTTCGTCCGAAGGGAGGGGCACCGACGGAAGCCACCTTCGGAATCAGAAGCCGCAACCCCATGCCCATGCAGAACTTGCCTTTCCCCTGAACTCTCCGTTCGGCAGCCCCCCCGCCATTGCAATGTGGAGGATCCGTGAAGGGATCAACGTCGACAGCGAGGCAGCCGTCCAGCGCGCTTCCGAGCGTTGCTGCACCGCCCGCCACCACTGCCCAGCGGCCTCGGAGAAGAGCTCGCGTGCCTGAGAGACAGAGGCAGGCAGACTCGATTTCCGCCGGGGGTTTCCTCTGTTCTTCCTTGTTCATTGTGAAAGCGCCTTCTGCGCCAAGGGGTGCCAAGCTGACAGCAGCGTCAAGCAGGTCTGAAGCAAGGTGATGCGCCAGTCCTGTGGATCGCGTGGACTAGCAAGAGAGGTCCCGTCTCTGCCCAGCGCTAGTGTCCAAGCAAGCTAGGACAGCTACCGTAACTTGCAAAGTGCCGACCCCCAAACAGCTCTGCCACACTCCCTTGGTTCCTTCGAAACTTCCAGATTTGGGTTCTGCGAAGTAGCCAGTAGAGATGGAGACAGAGCGAGGCAAAGCAACGGCTGAGACAAAACTCCTAGGCACAGAGTGCTTCTGACCTCTCACAGCTCTCAGCCTTCCTTATGATAATACCAAGAAGAAGAGGAAGAATCATAAGAATAAGAACAGTAAAGATACAACAATAGGATATAAGACTATATCAGTAAGACTATGGTGATTCTGATGTTGGTGATTCTGATGATGATGATTTCCCACCCGTCCAGCTGAGGATATGATGATGATGATGGTGATGATGATGATGCTGATGATGATGATGTCGGTGATGATGATAGTTCTGCTCCATGTTAGCCTAGCCCAAATTGAACCTGCAAGGCAAACTCGCCCTCGTCAGTGAGGTCCGACCAGCCGAGCTGGAAAACTTTTGCCAGGGAAGAAGACATTGCAACCTGCAGGGGGCACCCTTCCAGTCCGAATACCTTCGTTTCTGGCTTCCTGCCTCCGCGGCATGTAGAAAGAAATCTGCTCGGCAGTTCTCCTGCTCCTCGCATCTGGAGGCGCTTGTGGCCTCCACGATTCCAATCAGCTCCTCCGAAGCGTGTTCGATACCCTCCATCTCTATTTGTTCGATAAGTGCATGACGTAGGTTAGGGATTATCGATATCTTGTGTCGTGGTGTATTATAATGACTGGTTTTAGGATTTCCCGACTATGTTCCCTATGGGATTTGCGTATCTTGTTAAGGCTTCGACTGCTTTTGCAAATACTAAATGCTTGCATCTTACGATTTAAAGTTTCGGCGCTCACAATCGGACAATCCAGGCGAGGCATGTGGTTCGAGGTCTGTTGAGCGAAACGTCTGTTGTGGGAATGTGTCGAACGCAAAACTACTGCAACAAAGATGCCGATACATGCTAGAATCCGAATACTAAGTGTTGCACTCTCCTCTCAAATGGTTTAGGGTGTTTCGAAATCGCTGCAGCAGGACCAGCGCAGTGCCTCGGCAGCATGCAATCGGCTGAAAGTGAGCATTGCACACTGGGTGGGAGCTGGTCGCAATTCTGCATATAGGAATGAATAACACATGAAGATGCATAGCCCAGCATCGCAAAGTACGGCAGTCCTCCGAAGCGTGTTCGATACCCAGCTCGAGCTTTTCCTTACACAGACACTGCCGGCACAAGCCTCCAGAGTCGCATTTAATTTCATTCTGAGGCCGGCTCCCACTCTGCAGTAAAACGCTGCACGCCCTGTCGCAGCTCACCACAGCAGGCCGCGCGCAAGGGCGCAAATGCGGGAGCAGCACAGTCTGCTTGTTGCAAGCAGCACGAGACCTGCATCTGTGAATCGCCAAAGGACATCTTAGTCTTCTACAGCGACGAACTTATTCGGTGGAAAGCTCACGCAGAAAAAAACGCACCCGCCTCCAGCTCCTGGCCTGAAGGTAGGCTCGGGTCCCAGCACCGTGGAGTCGGTGCAGCCCAACCACTAGCGGCAACAACAGCGCTGTCGGCCGAGGCCACCACACCCATGGCGGCGATGGCATCGCATCAAACGCCGAGGCTTTCCACAATTCTTGGCGTGGGTCGCAAAGCAGGGGTGCATGAAACTGGCGCTTGGTTCACTGAGGGCATCGTAGGGCCGTCCTTGCTTTCGGCATGCGAGCCCAGGCCAGACACAACGCCCCGCGAATCTATGCCCGCCACAGGACTGCGCTTCCGACCTCAAGACATCTTTTTGGGAGTGCAGCACACGGATTCCCGTTGAAGTCTCTGAGGTTGCGCTCTAGCAACTTAAATCCTCATTCGAACACGAAACAATCATCATGAGATGATATCCATCCCTGCAAGTTTTGCAGGATGTTCGAACCTTGTGGTTTCATTTGCCATATCAGCCCCGCGGAAAATGGCAAAGCAAGAAATGGCAACAGAAGTAGCGATTGGTTGTGTCAACTGCCGGCAAGCAATGTAAACCACATTATCGAATGCGAACTCCACCTGCCGCATGATGGGGGGGCAGAGCTCGGGAACCGGGCACGCAGCGCCTTGAAACTCACGCAACGTCTTTTGCTCTGGATGTGAGCTGTAAAGACAAAACCACCTCCATAGACCGAAGGTTTGCTGGGGAACTGTTCCAAATGCAGCTTCTTGGGTATGACATGAAGCGGGCACTGCTTCAATTCCTTGGAGAGAATGCGGGAAACGTGAACTTGTGCGGTCGCTCACTTCCAGCTGCTTCAGCACAAGACAGCTTGAATTCTGCCCATTTGAAGGTCAAAACACTTGTTCAAGTCTGGCTGTTGGCAGAAGCTAGTATAGAAAGAAGGACTGCATCGTCTACGTTCAACGACGCGACGAGGGAATACTGCACTCAGCATCTAGACACCTAAACACACAGCTGAAGTGCTCGCTTTGATCGGTTGGTGCCAACCACTTGCACGAGCAGGTAGATGGCCTGTGCATGTGTGCTTTGCATGGCGACTGCCTCGTTCGCCTGGCTCTGCAGACGGCTCGAGCTTCTGCAATGGCCAAGGCATTCGTCAAGCTGAAGCACACCACCCTGCTTGGGCAACTTTGCCTTATTCGACGCGTAAATGACGCGTAAATTTGAATGCTTGTCCCAACTGCTTTTTCTGCTACCGGTACCAGGCCAGGATGCGCATGATATGCAAAAACTCGATGAAGCCAGCTCCGCCATCGACTGGATAATACGGTCGCACCACATGACCGAAGAACACACGCAGCTGCTCCACTCTAACATCCTTAGCAATCGAAGTGGAATTGCAAGAGCCTGCTTTCCAGCAAAGCAAATGCAGCCGTACAGCCAGGTTTCACTCAGCTGAAAGCTGTGCGAAAGCATCTCCCGAATCTGATCCAAAGACAGAGTGTGTGATCCGGCCTCCACATGCCGAAACTGCTGTATGCCGCAGCACGCCTCTGGTACACACCTAGGCCCTCACATGCCTCATCTGTGGTCATGAAGAGCTCCCGAAATTGGTTCGCTTCCGCCTGAGAGAAGCCCAGGTCCTCGATGGCCTCTTTCTGCAGTTCAAACCTCAGGGGGCGACAGACGCTTCTCTGTGGGAATGTTTGCTTTCAGTCGACTGTGTTACCAAAACCGTCCGAACGGGCTTGTTGGGTCCATTGCTATGCTGCGAACCGCGAACCTGGCACTTTGGGCCGATCACGAAGCCCGGTAGACTCTGACCTGAAAATACCCCGGCTCAGCGCCGTCAAACCGCCCGAGGCCAAGGAGCTGGACTTCGTTCTCGTGGTCCGAGATCTGCCGAATCATGGAAACAAATCCGAGAAAGTCGAGCGACCCGCTGTGATCCTGCAGACATGTACCGGATGCCTCAATTCAAGAGCAGAGGTCAGGATGACTTCCATGAGCTGCCTGCATTTAGAAACAATCATACGACCCAGACTGCTTCCTCAGTTTCAGCAGTTGAACCCCAACACTGCGCTGTGTCCTGGTCGGCGGTCTCAAACAGGTGTGTAAGCACAGGTCGAAACTCGATCGTGTGGGCCAATCGAGGAAACAGCTGCTCCACAACTCGCGCCAGCTGGCTTCTTGACATCGTACCATTCCCATTCCTGTCTGAGTTGTGGAAGATTTTTCTGAGCTCCGCAACCTCCTGGAAGCCGTAGCCCTTCAGGCCCGCGGCAGTCAGCAAGCAACTCCCGCGAGGTTCTTTCTAAGCGAGTACAAAAGACCTGTAGCAGCCTACTCGACAAGTCGGGTGGACTCCGTCGCAGCTGGATGTTCTAGTCAGTTCCCGTCTTACGTACCGGTCCCATGTTCTCGCTGGATTTTTGCAAATCATGGCACGGGCCACTTTTCTCCACCAGCTCAAGCAACAGTGAAGCATCGGATACAGGTTTTCACTGCATAGCAGCAAGGGCACAATGCCTAAGCAGATGGCGAGGCTTCTACTACAGTAGAGTGCGTTGGAAGTTTAACGCTGATTTAACAAGTCTGCCTCGGAAGGAAAACAAAAATAAAGGTGGAGAACACGATGCTGTTTCCTTGTCTGTGGGTGAGCGACAGCCCAAACTAACTAACTCCCGATACGTTTCTTCAGTTTCTTCTTTTCTGTGTGAGCCTACAGCCCAAACTAACTCCCGCTGCATCTCTGTGCGTTCCTTTCCCTGCGATTTACCTGGCAGCTTCCTCCCCAGATCCCTCGTTGAGTGCGAGCCTGGTGCTCGTGGCTGGTGGAGCGGGACGACATCTTGAACCTCTCGATGATGTTCAGAAAAGTGGAAAGGTCGGCGCCGTTGCGCTCTCCTTGCCAGGCTAAGGACTTTCCTAAGACCTTTCTGAGAGCCAGCACCTAGCCTGCAGAGCGAGGTGGCGGCTGCCCATGCTCATCCAAACAACCCAGGCTCTCGAGAGCTTGGCATTGCTCTGAGTCGTCAAGGAAGCCCACGTGATCCACGTCGAGGCAGCGAAACATTTCTGTCGCCCTTCTCTGCTCCTTCTCCTAAAAAGGCCGAGCGACATGAATCTTCAGTTGTGATCCAGGGCCAAACCAGCGAAGCGACGGGTACTGATGCAATCCAGCGTCTTTGCATTTCCGAGTTACCTTCACAAACATCTTGAAGTCCAACATGTCGGACCCATCAACATCAACCTATCGGAAGGCGGCAACTTTGCCTTGCTACTGCTGACACAGAGAAATGCAAAGCCTCGGCGATAAGTCGGAGGACATCATCCAAGGGCAAGGAATGCCCGAGCCAGCGCAAGGCCTTGCAGACAGTTGGGGCCCAAATTGTGTCCTGCAGCAGAAGCTAAGCCACTGATCCCATGCTTGAATATGCTTGATATGCGGAGAACGCACGCAAGTCCTTCTTGCTCTTGGCATACAAGCTGAAGGCCTCCCTCAGGTTGCGCATCTCGGAGTCGGTGAAGCCTTGCCGGCAGGCTGTATGCTTGAACCCGAGGAAAATCCCAAAACTTTGATTGCACCAGAGCAGCCATCGCAGGATCGCAGGCTGCCTCAGTGCAAAGCAATCCTTTCGAGGAAACAGCGAAGGGATCACTTCGAGTCCGAAAGGAGCTCGGCCCAGGGCTTAGAAGCCTGCACACCTCATCCACGCCGAGGTTGAGCGGCACCGAGCGGAGAAAGGCCTGGCTGCAAAGAACCCGAAGCTTTGGGGCGACATTGCAAGCGGAGAAAGGCCTGGGCAGTTGCAGCCTCAAGGCCGCAATCAAGGCACAGGCCAGTCTGAGCCATGGCATTTAGGACAGCCTGGTCACCAGCCAAGGCACAGGGAGCAGCACTACAAGACTACCCATGAAGCCCGAAGACCTGGGGCGAAGGGGAATAGCCCAGGCCGTGGATCAGGGTGACTAGCTCCTCACCTGCCAAGGGTCAAGATGAACTGGCCCTTCGTGGCCCTTCGTGGCCCTTTCCCTCTGGGAGGCCCCCCACCCCAAGGCCCCCGGGGTCGCCCGCTGGTCACGAGCCTGAATGTAGCTGCTTGTTGACGGTATGCCTGGCCAGGCACGCGTAGAATCTTCAGCTTCTTCGTTCGATTTAAGCATTCAGCATTCGCCAATCGCAGCTCCCGGTGGGTGGGATACTTGTTTCGAAACGGTTCTGCAAAGTCTTCAGCGAAAGGGGTGCTCTTGTTGCAATTCGTAGGCTGCCGCTTTGAGGCAGAAAATTTGCAAATTCGAATTTGCAGGGTCCTGTTTTCCCGATGGCTGTTGCTGTGCGCCAATGTATTATGTAGGGCACGGCAAGCCAGCAGGAAATTCATGCTTGCAGGATCAGCCGTTATGGCAAGCCCTTTGGGAATTGAAGTCTCCTGCCAGCTAGTGCCCTATTCAAAAGCATTCGGTCATGCTGCCCGCAAATATCCCAGTATCCTTATCGACCCGGTACTGCGCAATGATACATGGCCTTAACTTGTAGTTGTTCAATTGTGCCGCCCGTTTTCTTCCTACGTGCAGCTTATCTTGTGTATCTGGTGGCGCTTGGCGTGGCAAGATGCCTTATTTGCTTCCTTTCTTGGTCCGAACATCCTTGCGGTGTTCTCGTCCTGCTTGGTAATTCCTTCCCTGCTGCTTCCGTCCTTCCTTCCTTCGTTCCTTCTTCCTTCTCTCCTGCCTTCCCTCCATTCCTCAGCAACCCCCTCGCAGCAGAAACAAATGGCCAGAGGCAAGACTACTAGTGAAGTTACTAGCAAGCAATAAATACAAAAAGCTCTCACAAGAATATCTATGACACTTCAGACATGGTCGCACCAGAGTGCAGTTGCGACCCTTTGAGTGCAGCGAAGACCCGATTCGGCTTTCTAGGGAGTTGCCCCGCACCCTGCCACCACACCAGGCCTTCCGCCAAGGGCGTCGCGGCTCTCGAAGAACTTTTCCACCAGTGCCGTCTCATGGGTGTGCACTTTCGAGAGGCACCGGAAGAATTCGTTCTCGTTGAGCTTGCCATCCTTCCTTTCTCCATGGATCTCAGCGAAGCTGTCAGGAAAGCCGAGCCACGCGAGTGCATTGGCGAACTCTTCTTGGCTGATGAAGCCCGTATTCTCACGGTCGAAGTGCTCGAAGACTTGGGAGAAAAGGTCCAGCTCTCTTGCAGCAAACCCCTCCCGCTTCTTGATCAAGTGACGGACCTTGAGGAATCCATCAAAATTGACGTGACCACCAGCCTCACCGTTCACTTCGTTCACAAGCTCATCCAACACAAATCTGCGAACTGGCTGTCCAATTCGAATCAGCAATTGTTCCAACTGTCCAGCATCGATCGTGCCCTGACTGGTGCTTGCGGAATAAAAGAATTGGTGATGTGGCTGGGGTGGTGGCGCGATTGCAAGACATAATCGGTTGGGGCTCTATGTACATCCGCTACTAGATAGTCTAACATGCTGACCCTATTAACATGCCGCCTCTAGATTCTAGACTTATAGAAATAAATAACGATGCAAACGCGTCACCAAGCTTCGGCACTGCATGGATCAAGCTGCCCAAATTCCGTCTTGTATGTTCCATGAAGTCCACAATCAAAGCGACACACAAAGCTCTCAAACTCCCCTTTGTCGAGGGTGTTGTACATAGTACAGTCCTTAAGCGCCTCCTGCATTGCCGCCTCCCTCACATCGCAGAAGCCGCCTCATCATTCTGCCATGACATGCTGCAGCGCTCTGTTTGCCTGTGTCTATGCTCTGAAGCTTCGGATCTTCTTCGATTCAGGGCACAAAGCTGCAATGCCCTTCTCAGGTCATCCACATGGATCTCTCCATCGCTCGCGAACCGCGCGAAAGCCTGCAAACCGATCAACTGCAAGCCACGATCAAGAATTGTCAAAGTGGAGATGCAGACTGAAATGCAGCTTTGCAGCTGCATCCCATCGTTTTCGCTCTCCCTGGCTCACCGCCCGTCCATCAATGGTGAAATGGAAAGTGGAGCAGCGAGCTCGCCGTGCCTCTGGTCCGACATGAATATGGGTCTTCGCTCCAAAGAGCCGTTGTTCCGGGGGGGCCGGGTCGGTGGCGTTGCAAGCTTATGTTGGATAGTGTAGATGAGCCTCGATCCTGGTGATCGTGATCTTTGGGGAACCCGTCAAGTCTCACGGCAACCCTCTCGGACCAAGTAAAGCCGGTCTCCCAGCAAGAACTATGCAAGACTGTATTATGCTTTCTGGGCGCTCTTCTCGCAGCAGGTGGTTTGACGGCAAAGTCGTTTGGTATTCCTTCCTCGGCTGTGATTCAGCTATTAATGAACATGGATAAGACAACAAACCCAGGGATGGACAGGCTTCAGGTCATTGAGGCCGGTGCTTCGTCGCAGAGTCGCTGCAATGCCACCGCCTTTTGCAGCCGCGTGCGCAGATGTTGGCTGCGACGTCGAATGCTGTCTTGCAAATCCTGCAAGCAGCAGAAAACCATTCTACACGGCCAGCTACAGGTCGATTTCCTGTGCTGCTCTGATACGCGCAGTCCTGCCCGCGGCTTTCCTGCGAGGACACTTCCGTGACCTTGAAACGAAATTCCAGGGTGCTTGAAGCCCCCAGCCCGGTCACAGAAAACATGACGTGACGGGATTGCAATCAAGATGCTGTAAGATGCTCATGTCTGCTTTCACCCTCGCTACTTGGGGTGTGGCCGCGGACGAAGCTCGACACGAAGCATGTGTCCACGGAAAGAGCACGAGCACGAGTCTTCAGTGGCGACAGCTTGGCTGCCTGAGGAGAGCGTGAATGAGGCGAAGAAGGCGTGGACCGCTGCGAGGGCGAGGGTGGAGCAGGCGACAAAGAAGACGGAGAACAGGAAGAGCAGCAAATCACGTCTTCAGTCGCAGCCCGAGCCCACGCAAGGCGTTTTCGTGCCGGCGGAGGCGCCAGAGCGTGCGGGCTCATCGGGCTGCGTGTCTCCTCCGAAGCTCTTTCGGAGGGCCCCGACGGACGAACGACAGGAGTCCCAGGAAGCCTCAAGCCGTCTGAGTTTGGCGACTGGTCTGCCCGTAATTCTGGGGCAAACTGCCGACGAAACTTGTGCTTGTCTGCCGGCTTCGGCCGGGAGTTTACTGTCGTTTGCCGCCGGCTGCTTCCACCATGCTTGCACATGCGCCGAAGAATGCAAGTACGCCTACGCCCTCGGAATTGTCTATGCAAGTACAAGCAAGCTACATCGTCGGAGCCAGGCATGCCGTCGGCCACGCACGTGTGCTCTGGATTGCTCTGGCACCTACGTCCCGGGAAATCGTCGGTCATCGTGGGCCATGTGCTCTTGTGATGTCATGACACGTCGGACAGTTCGCTCTTTCACTCTGTTGGGCCATTCGAAACATGAGCAACAGAGGAAGGTCTCAGCAGCATGTTGGAGCCGTCGAGTGCGGGTCTCAGCCGCTGTCCTTGCCAAAAGCTGTTGACTCTTGACTGGACGATACATCCAGGTGGTGGATCCAAGTCAGAGGATCATCGAACCAGACGGTTAGCTACACAGACATCATGCGCAAGACTCCTCGTCGTCATCTTCCAGGGCTGCACAGAACTTCCTTCCGTGAGAACACATCGTCTAAGCATGCTTCATCCGACAGTGCAGGAGCTTGGCTCGCGGCATCTTCTTCTTGCTCTGGCCTTAGCTAGAGCGACCGCTCGTGTGGACGTTACGCCGTTACGCGACTCTGTCGGCGAGGAGCTCTCCAACAGGGCGCGTTCCGCGCGTCGCTTTCGGCGCAGCTCGTCTTGAATGCGCTCCTGACAACCGACTTCCGTCTCCGAGCTTCCGTCACTGAACTGTCGCAAGACGCAAGAAGCCCCTAAAAAAAGACATCCTCCTTTTCTTGCGCCTCCCGCTCTTCCCGTTCCTTCGAAGCACCAGACACCAGGGCAGGGCCGGAACCCTCGATGAAGCTCGACAGAATGAAGCTTGCAGCTTGAAGATCCTGCTTCTCGCGCTCCAGCCGGGCCTCCACTTCTTCCTGCACGTGCTCACGCAGACCCAACGCAGGAGCAGCGCAAGGCCAGCCGCCGAGCCGCCGAGCCTGCGACTCTTTCCTTCGAAGCCGCCCGGCCGCAAGCCGCTGGATTGTCTGACTCAGCGCTACCTGCACAGGCGCTCTCCCAGGGCATGGCCATTGCCATGCCCTGGAAAGCCAAGACTGAAGCGAATCCGTAGCACTCCAGAGGTGCAGTTGAGGTCTTGGTCTCAATCACTCATGCACATGTCAAGGTGGGTCGTTTAGGACTGCAGACAGCACATCTCGACATGGCAGAGGACACAGAGACATATTTAACAAAAAACCAACTTCGTTGCAAGTATCACGGCACCATTGCTGGCAACCCATTGCCCATGGCTCACGTGTCGTCCTCCCACATCGTCCTCTGACCAAAATGTAACGAGAAGCCCATGTGGCTGCGTTGTTCGACAAAACAGCATGTAACCCCAAATAGGATGACGTCCGCGCTCACAACACGGGGATCGCTGTGGTGCCACAAGAAAAAATTGAGACGGCATGCCCTGGACCCATTGGACTTAGGATGCTGTGACTGGTCCGGCCTCCAGCTGCTTGCTCTGCGTCTCAGACACCTGGCACTGGTCGCAAGTCGCATCTCACGACTGGCTCATGGCTCCTCCTTTTCTTCGCAATCCTTCTGAACAGGGGCTTTGTGTCAACTTCTTCGCTACTTTTGTCAAGCTCGATTCCGGAAGCCTCCACCGCGCCCTGCTCGGGCATCTCGGGCTCTGCCTCAGGGGATGCACTCGCTGTAAAGGCGGTTGGAAGTTGGAAGGCAAAAAGAGGCCTCCAAAGAAACAAGGAACAGGGCGCACCGGCATTTGTTTCTCTACATACATGCGGTGCAGGCTGTGACCTGCACTTGACATGAATGCTTGACACTTCTGCGTAAAGGTATGTGGGAGCAAGAGTGCGCGCCACCGACAGGTTTTCCGCACCCCACTTACTCCCCACTTACAGCCAACACTTAGGACTTGTGCCTGTCGCTAGGCGATGCACAGCTTGCTCCGCTCGCGCGGGCATCTTCACTGGAGAAGCTTCTGGGACCAGGAGATAACCCACTTGGGCCCCTGGAAGAATCAGAATGGCGCTCAACTCAGATCCTCCTGGTCCCTTGAGGCCATCTCTTATAGAATGCCCATCGACACCTTCGAAAGGAAAGCTCTATGAGGTTCGAATTTCCATCGATTTCCCCTCCTGCACGAAGGCAAGATGTAGAAATATGTAGCTGTGACAAGAAGGCTAGGTAGAGGAAGTCGTGCAACCACAGCATGGAAAGACGAGCTAAGAAACTCACGGCACTCGCACGATCAGCAGATACATCAACCAAGGCGGCAAGTTGAGAGAACTTATTGCACAGTGCGTTGCGAAACTGCCTACAAACCCGTCACTAGTACGAAACTGTTCAACTGCTCAACATAAGTAGCTGCTGCAGCGAGAGTGTTCAACTGCGGCTGAGATTGAAAGCACGCGCACGCACGTCCGCTTTTCCAATCTCTGCGCTTGCAGCACTGAACATCACTTGGCCAACGGGGAAGGTCCCCTAACAAATTGACCGGTTCATTATCGCCCAGAGTTGATTTCGTTGGAGATCGGATGCGATGCCGCAACACCCTGCCAGTCCCGTGCTACCTGGCTGAAGAGCGGGAAAACATGTTGCATAAAGCACCCTGTTCTAGTAGCGAACTCCGGAGTTCCTTCTGCTTTCGGCCCGGCATCGCAAGCATGTATTGGGCTTAGACCGTCGCATCTCAGAGCTTGGCCCCGTGAAGCTTCGGCATATTGACGGCGGAACGAATCGACCCCAAGACTTCCCCAGAAAAAGAGCGGCCCTGCCCTTCCAAAAGGTTGCAGGCGGAAAGTGGTGAAATGAATAATGTTTCCCTCGATGTTGGCCACAGGTGCTCAAAGACCCTTGTACTTCGGCCGGCCGTGGCCATCTTGAACCGATGAAGACTGGCTCGCCACGCCTGATGCCAAGACGTGTAAGAGTGCAAGCCAGTGTAAGCATGCTGTATACCTCGAGCGGCAAAGCACCTAGCCCTGGCCCTATGCCCCTATTCCCCATGTCCATGTGCCGCTATAATTGCCTATGCAGCTGCGCGCCGCCCAGAGACCTCAGTGGACGCGACGGCTTTCAGACACTGCAGGGATCTGCTTGAAGGTTCTCTGAGATGTGCACTTCCGACAGCGGCGAATTCATGGAAATGCGTGCCTCCATCCAGTCCAGCTTCTCAGACCTCCGGCGAGGTGCCGTCTGCGCTTGCACCGAATGACCGACTTTTAATTCGGCGGGTCAATAGTTGCAAGTCTCGCACCCGATCGTCTTCTTCTGAAGCTTCTCTTTATCCTTGGGCTGTGGCTGGGAAGCAAAAGCAACAGTCTTCGATGAGACTGGGCGCGTCCTTGTCACTCTTCGGGCTGGCGATGACAGTCTTCTCTTGCCAGGCATTGCGGCGCTTGTCGAGGAGGTCCTGTCACATGTTGCGCGAGCTTTCTCAGCGGACCAAAATTGCTCTCAGCTCTCAGCTCTCGCCTTCAGGAGGCATCGCGTGCGAGCACTTTGCTTCTTGTCATCAGCCAAGATTTCCACCTGCCCCCCCAAAGAACACATCCGCTAGACGACTCTCGTCGCAATCGCAGGCCTGTTTGAAGATCTCCTGTAGCCGAGCGTAGCCCGACCACTGCGGCTTGTCAAAGGTGCCACCCAGCGTCTCAATAAACGCGCAGAGCGTTTCCAGGGCCTCACATGGTGTACCCTGTCTTTCTTCCGACCGGCTGGGCCCCGCTGCAGAACGACATTGCACTTGCGAAAGCAATGCAAGCCCGCTTTCTTCACCTAGGTGCCTAGCTCGCTTGCTCAGCAGCTGTGCAAACCTTCGTTCCCCCGGCTACTCCAACCACTGCCAACCACCCCTTAGGTATGTGCGAGCTTACGATAGGGAGGTTGAGGTTGGGTCAGGGGCACGGGGGAAGACCGAAACGCCGTTTGCCCACAGCTGGCATAACAGGAAGATACGCATGCTTTTTTTGCCTGTTTCTTTTGGAAACAGGAGAGCACTTCTACGGGCAGCACACGATTTCCTGGCTGCTAGATCACATGCCTTCAAGTACTAGCTCAGTCATTGCAGAAATCGATGGGTAGTCAAAGACCAACGTCACCGGCAGATTGACGCCAACCAACTCCTTCATGAGCTCGTCCCGAAGCCTCAGACACAGCCCTGCGTGGGTCGTCCGTACAACAACTTGTCGGTCTCAACTTAGCCGGAAGCCCAACGGCCGATGTGCTTGTGAGCCCAGCTTCCATCAGGGGCGTGTCGGCCTTTGAAAAAACACAGCGCCACCTGAAGCACAGCACATGGCAACAACGAGCCTCTATGTCACCATCATCTGCCCCGCTCATGCTCAAGGCCACTTCCAGGATCTTCTTTTTGATGACGTCCGGGCTGAGGGCTTTTACATCCATAGCCGGGCCTCTTTCGCGAGTCCTCGGAAGACTTGTTGCGAAGCTAAGAAATGAAGCCCCTGCTCATTCAACATTCCACATCTGCCCACCGTCCGCACGTCTTCCCTCTTTGCTTATTATTCTAAGAATCTGAATAATGATCTTTCGAACTACGGAGCACGGCATGCCCGGCCTGGCTACCCTTCCTTCAGCAACCTCCTCCTCCTCTGCATACTGCTGCATCATCTGCGGTGGAAGTGCACCTGGTGGACCTCCGGGGATCACCTGTGGCCGCGGTGGTGCCAGGTGCTGCTTCAGCGCCTCGATGATGCTCTGCGCAGCGGCCAGGCCTGCAAGGGCGCGCAAAGTGAGAGGCGTCCTGGCTTTTGGCTTCTGGCTGCAAAGTCTCCCGTCCTTTCTCGTCCAATACATCCTTGGTGCTGGCATATGGGCAGCTACCGAGCTCCAAAGACAGAATTCCGCCAAGACGCCGCTTGGTTAAAGCATGCCACTGCCTGCCACGGGAGTCGTGTCTTGAAGCATCTGTCCAACTTCCTTTGTCTGCGTAGTGCTCTGGCGATGTCTGTATCCGAAACTGGCCTCTAAGGCATATCTTTGGCTTTCCTTGTAATGCTCGAGAGCCCGCTCCGCATCTGCACAAA